CAGGTTTGTTACATAGGTAAACGTGTGCCATGGTGGTTTGCTACCCCTATCAACCCATCACCTAGGTATTAAGCCCCGTATACATTAGCTATTTATCCTGATGTTCTCCCTCCCCCTGCCCCCACCACGGACCCCAGTGTGTGTTGTTCCCCTCCCTGTGTCCATGTGTTCTCATTGTTCAGCTCCCGCTTGTAAGTGAGAGTATGTGATGACTACTATTTTTCTTATACCTTGAGCATTTAAGAGTCCTTCTAAGGAATTCACCTCCTCCTCCCTTCCCTTGCTAGGAGACTCATGGGTATTTTAGACTCCCTATCTCCAGAGGATGCCGATGAGGAAGAATTGCCTTCCCCAGGCCCTCCAGTCCCAGACTTAGAAAGGCCCGGAATGTTCTCCTAGGCACATTACCCAAATACCTCGGTATTCCTGGCCTTCTCTCCCGAAAAACCCATCCTGGGCTTTTCAGCATTCTTGAGGATGAGAAACTGAACTACATCTATGTTGTCTGTAATTTCTATAATTACAGTTCACCCTTAAACAATGAGGGGGTATGGGTGCCACCCCCAACAAAGTCAAAAATCCAAGTATAACTTTGGATTCTCCCAAAATTTAACTACTAATAGCCTACTGTTGACTGGAAGCCAATAACATAAACAGTCAATTAACATGTTTCATATGTTATATGTATTCTATACTGTAGTCTTAAAATGAGGTAAGCTAGAGAAAAGAAAATGGTATTTAAAAAATTCTAAGGAAGAGAAAATATATTTCCTATTTGTTAAGTGGAAGTGGATCATCATAAAGGTCTCTGTCCTCATCGTCTTCACACTGAGTGGGCTGAGGAAGAGGAAGAAGAGGAGGGGTTGGTCTTGCTGTCTTGGGGTGGCCGAGGCAGAAGAGGTGGAAGAGGTGGAGGAGGTGGAAGGGGAGGCAGGACAGGCAGGCACACTCACTGTAACTTTTGTTGAAAAAACATCTGTTTATAGGTGGACACAAATCAAACCCATGTTGTTCAAGGGTCAACTATATTTCTTTTTTTTAACCTTAGCATTTAAACAAGTTCCTCTTGAAAATGTCAGCCTGTCTTAGCTATAGGAAGGGAAAGGAGATTTGGTCTGTGCTCAGCCCATCTTAAAAAGGCAAGAGCACATCTGGAGTCTGGGCTAGGGGAGGCAGCAGGGTCAAAGTGAGGAGGCCTAAGGTGTGGGGAAGCTCTTAGCAGAGACCCTGCAGGTTCAGCCATAAACCTTCCCTCCTTGGTCAGTCCTGGAGGGGCTACAATTTCTACCATAGAATCAATACCTGGTAGGAGCCTTCGGAGACTAAATGTTAAAAGGTGAGAAAGCTCAACTTTCAGCCTCCTTCAGGGTCTCCTTCCAAAGCCTGTCTCTTGTCAGACATGACAGGAGTGGTGTCTGTATTCCTCAAACGCTGGGCTGGTACTCCCTCCTCCCCGGGCACTTTCCTAGCCCAGCAGCCCTGAGCAGTGCTCAAAACTACAGGTTTCTCCCTCTTACCTCCTGAAACTTCCTTGAATCTCATCCATCCCTAAAGAGTTTCAGCTTTCTAGTGTGATCACAGGCTAGAAGTGACATTCTAATCCATGTATTTGTTTTGAGACAGGGTCTCACTCTGTCATCCAGGCTGAAGTACAGTGGCACCACCTTGGCTCAGGATCAGCTCCCTGGGCCCAGGTGATCCTCCCAGCTTTGTCCCCTAAGTAGCTGAGACTACAGGTATAGACCATCATGCCCAGATAATTTTTGCATTTTTTTGTAGAGATGAGGTTTTGCTATGTTGCCTAAGCTGGTCTCAAAATCCTTGGCTCAAGCAATCTGCCCAACTCAGCCTCCCAAAGTGCTGGGATTACAGGTGTAAGCCATTGCACTTGGCCATCATGAAGATATTTTAGAAGAGCTAAAGTCAGGTGGCAGGGTCCCCATTTTCACCACAGCCCCAGCCCTCCTGATAATATCTCCGTATTTTAATCATGGTCTTTGGAAAATGATGCCTCCCATAGAAATACTGGGATTGTCATGATGTCACAGAAAGAGCGCAGGATGGCACTGAGGTCAAAAGGCATGAGACCTTGAGTCAGCTGATTTTGAAGGGCCTAAGGTCCAAGGTCTCATTCTCCTTGAACATTCTGGGGTTTTCCCTCTCTGCAGCCCAACTCTCTCACCTTTTAGAATTTAGTTTCCTAAGGCCCCTACCAGGTGTTGATTCCATGGTAGAAATTGTAGCCCCTCCAGGACTGACCAATGAGGGAAGGTTTATGGCCAAAGGGAACTTAGGCAATTCTTAGGACAATCCAAGTAAATCACAGCTTCTGACCCCACACCATGTGGGGGCCCTTCTGCCACCAGGTCCTCCCCTGTTCTTTCTGCCAGTGAGGACAAGCACCTGTCTGGGGGATCAGCTCCGGGGGGGGACCTGAACAGTCCATTTGCCATCAGTGCCCCAGTCAAGCACTGGGTCTGCTGAGTGACTAGGAAGGGCCAGTGGCTTGCCTCAGCAAACCCAACATAAGGATTTACAGAGTCTTTGCCTATGCTGGCCCCGGTTGATAAGGAAAGCTCCCCAGAGTGAAAGGATGAAGAAAGGGAGCCTTCCCACCCCATCAAGGCGCCAGATCAGCCTTTCCACCCGCTGCGGCCCTACACAAACCAGCTCCCTGATCTGACTGGCCCCAGCTCCCACCCTTACCCGCTCCCTGGCCTCACTCTGAGTGGAACCCAAGCCTGGGGGGAATTGAAAAGAAACAGCCAGCTTAGGTTGCTGTTGTTTTGTTTAAACAAACCGCTGGCTGGACTGACTTGGAAAGGAACAAGGGGAGGATGAGGAGCTCAGGGCAGACCAGGCTGGGCGGGTCTTCCCTGAGCTCAGCCCCAGAACTCTCCATCTTGCTAGGGTGGCAGAAGAGCTCTGCAGGGAGAGTGGCTGCTGGGCATCTGTCAAGGCCTTCCCTCCTCTCCTGGAAGAGATGGGCATCAAGGAGACAGGTTTCCATTCTCCAATCCCTTATCCTTGTGGGCCGCAGCCCTTTGGCCACACGTGGGCCTGGATAATGCCAGCCCTGGATAATGCCAGGCCCAAAATGTGGGGAGTTGGGGGACCACGCCGAAAGGGGAGTGAGACAGAGCTGGAGTGTACATCATCGTATGGGTGGGACCTGACGTTGAAGGCTGCCCAGATTCTCCTGAGCAGAAGAGAACAGGATCAGGGAGAGTGGAAGGAAGTTAAAGGAAAGAGATCTCGGCTGAGCATGGTGGCTCATGCCTGTAATCCCAGCACTTTGGGAGCCTGAGGCAGGTGGATCACCGGAGGTCAGGAGTTCGAAACCAACCTGACCAATATAGTGAAACCCCATGTCTACTAAAAATACAAAAATTAGCCAGGCATGGTGGCGGGCCCCTATAATCCCAGCTACTCAGGAAGTTGAGGCAGAAGAATCGCTTGAACCCGGGAGGTGGAGGTTGCAGTGAGCCAAGATCGCACCACTGCATTCCAGCCTGGATGACAGAGCGAGACTCCAAGCAGAAAGAAAGAAAAGGAAGGAAGGGAGGGAGGGAGGGAGGAAGGAAGGAAGGAAGGAAGGAAGGAAGGAAGGAAGGAAGGAAGGAAGGAAGGAAGGAAGGAAGGGGATCTCACCTGCATCAGGTGAAGAAGACGAAGTACAAGGGGCTCATGGGGGAAGGGTCTATCTTTCCACAGTCTCCTGCTTCTTCTTCCAACCAAATGAGACCTAGGTCTATAGGAACCAGCCTTGGAAGAGGGATATCTGACCAAGAGGCGCAAAGTGAGGACAGTAATACAGAAGCTGCAGTTCAAAGGGGAGGAGATCTGGTGGGTTCTGGACTGGGCAAGTAGGACTTTAGTTCTATAAAAGGTAAACCACAAGCTAGGGGATTGGATCTCACCTACCCCTGCCCCCACCTCAAGCAGGGCCTCCCACCTCTCCCCCATCCTCCCAGCATCCCATGAGCCCCTCTTCTAGGCTTGGTGAAAAGGTAGCCAGGGCACAGTTAGGTGTCGGCAGACTCAATTAAGAGTCACGCTAATCACCTTCATTAAGGCTATAAAACCCCACACCTAGGGGCCTCGGGGCTCCCTGGCATGGCCTGGGGCCCCTGAGCCATGGCACAGAACCAGGGGCCCGGCTCCAGTCTCTTTCATCTGAGCATCTCCTGGTCCTGCACAAACAGTAATTAGCACCCACCCCCGGGGTCACCTCATTATCCCACAGACACCGCGTGGAGGGGAGGAGGGAGGGAAAGAGAGGAGGGAAACTGAGGCTGTCCCAGTGGCCAAAGAAACTGCCCCAGAGTTGTGGGCTAAGTTAACTGAGGGTGGGGAGAAGCTACCACAGAATCAGGCAGTGTAGCCTCCTCCTGCCTTCCCTTCCCCCACTGGTTGCTCAGAGCCCATTGCTTAATATTCTAAAGCTTCCAAAGGGAGCAGAATCCTCCCTCCAGAGAAGATGGGCTCCTTAGCAAGATCCAGAGAACTGCAGATCTAAGCGCCTCCCTTAGATCTGACCAGACCCCGCAGGTGATGTCGAGCGCCCAGTTTCAGGCACCGATGGGGATCATGGAACAGCTCTTTGGGAAGTGTCCTACAGGGCTTCTCTAGAGGCAAGGTGTCCATTTGCCACCCTCAGCAACATCTGTGTCTCTCCTCTCTCCCTGGATCCCCTGAGGTACCCATTCCAAAACCCCACTCACTGCCCTGTCTCCCAAAAGCAGCCATACATCCTCCTCCTCTCCCATCTTCCTCCTCTCCCATCCTTCTTCCTCTCCCATCCTCCTTCCTCTCCCATCCTCCTTCCTCTCCCATCCTCCTTCCTCTCCCATCCTCCTTCCTCTCCCATCCTCCTTCCTCTCCCATCCTCCTTCCTCTCCCATCCACCTCCTGCAGAGAAAGAAGCAATCCCGCAGAGCCCACGTGGCCTGAAGTGTGCCCAAGGCATAACCTACAGCCCTGCTTGTCTCTTCTTTCAGGGTGCCGACCTGAAGAAAGGGAAGATTCAGGGCCAGGAGTTATCACGTGAGTAAGACATAGGGACCCCTTCCCCCAGCCAGGGCATCAGTGACGATCACAGGAATGAAAGCCTCATGGGGCTGCTTTGTCGTGTGCTAGCGCCAGCCTGAGAGTTTTCTTGGATGCCCTGATTTCGTCTCCACAACTGCCTTTTATGGTCACTGCCATCAGTGTCCCCATTTTAAAGAGGATAACACTGAGGCACAGACCATCCTGTGCCATGTGAACAGCTAGTAAGGAATGCAGCCAGCGTCACAGTGCAGGGGGCCATCTGACTGGAGGCTGCTTGCAACACCTGTCCACCCCCATCCTCCCCCCAGCTCCCCTCTCTCAGATCCCTGCCCCAGGATGGTGCCCCAACCTACCTTGAAAGGGATGCTCAGGTAGTGGGCTGGCCTCTGGCACAGGACTGGGCACCAAACTTAGCCTTGCAGTTCCATGAAGCAGCATGGGCTTCGGCACCAATCAGGCCTGGATTCAAATCCCAGCACCACCACTCACTGTTGGCCTGGCTTCACCTCTCAAGCCTCCAGGAAATGGGAAGATGGAGGAGATGTCATAAGTGAAGGCCTACAGCCCAGGGCCTGGCCCGGAGAAGTAGTCTAGCATGTGTGAACCCTTTCCCCTCCTCCTCATGCCTCAATTCTCTGCCTTTGGAGGTTTTGAATGGGGAATTCTTGAGGAAAGCCCTAGTGAGAGGCATTAGTCTGTATCTCCCTTGAGGATAAATTCTCCATTGCGCAGATCCAGTGAGTTCTCACTTCAGACTTGTCCACACAGAACCGAAGTCACCAGTTTTGGGCAGCGTCGAGTGTGCCCACGGTGGAGTGCACTCCACAGCCCACATACCCACCCACCTCGCCCACACTGACTTGCGCACGAGGAGACTCCCTGGCACCCACCTGTGCTCAGAAGACTTCCTCAGCACTGGTGGTGTTTAGGAAAAATGCTCCTTAACCTGCATTTACACACACTAACAGGGCCTCCAAAACAGCCTCAGGGTGTTTGCACACTGGCTTTTCGTGTGCACACACCCGCCCCAAGTGGAGATCTCCAACCACACACACTCACATGGCTCCAAGCACATCCAGCTCTGCTCTCACTCTGAGTGCGCACGCGTGCACACACACACACACACACACACACACATCTGATCTGCGATCCAAAAATGCAGGGAAAGATGAATCGTCAGGAATTCCCCGGCTCTTGGCATGCTGGAAGCCACCAGTGGCCGGAAGTGCACAGTGAGGGACGCTTCCAATGCTCCAAGCAGCAAGTCGTGCTTTTGTTTAATGATCGGGAGAGAAAAGAAGGGGAGATGGCCATAAAGGACCAATACTCTCTCCCACCAACATCCTCATTGCAAATGCTTCTTTCCCACCCACCCAGGAAGATTCTTGGCTCCAGCCTGGCTCTCCTCCATGGAAAGGAAGATGGAGAGAGGGAAGGGGAGTGGGAAGGGCTGAAGTATGCTGGGAAAGAGGCCCACCTTGAAAGACCCAGGCCAGGCCAGCAAGATCTTGTCTCTCTGCATGGACTTGGGAGAAGAATGAGGGATGTCCCCACCCCACTTCCCCCCACCCCAGAAAAAAAGCGCAGCCTCCTGGAGGAAAAGGGAAGGAGTGGGAGAGGGGCCTTCTCCCCGGTGCCCCAAGCGCCCAGCTCCTACAGCTCCCATGATCAAACCTTTGAACCCAGTCCCACCCACCCTTGTAACCACTTCCAGATCCTCCAGACGCAGCCAAGAAATTGGCTTCTTTGGGGATTGAGTTCATAAGCAAATGCCGAAAAAATAAATAAAAATCCTCTGCCAAACACACTCGCAGAGGAAGATGGGCTTCTCTTGAGGCAGGAAATCCATCAGGATAGACTAAAGCAAAAACAGGACAATGCCAACACCCACCGGCCCATAAAGGTCTGGGAGCCACGCCAGCACCCGAGGCCTTCAAGCCAGCTCAGGGTGTTTCCTCTCGGACCACCTCCTCCCCAACTCTCACCCCCACCAAAATATGTTCTTCTTAAATGAAGATACTGAAGCTGAGATCCCACCAAATACAAATCCTAATGGTTTGCACGGGTGAGTCCCGATCTGGGGCCCCAGGGAGGTCAGCAGGACCATGGGAAGACAGAGAGCTCTGCCCCGGATAATATGGGATGTTGATGCCCACCTCTCTCCTTCTTCTACCTATAGCCTACCAGGCTCCCTCCCCACCAGCACACAGTGGCTTCCATCGCTACCAGTTCTTTGTCTATCTTCAGGAAGGAAAAGTCATCTCTCTCCTTCCCAAGGAAAACAAAACTCGAGGTAAGACCTTCCCATCCTTCCATCCACCTCCAGGGTGAATTCTGGGGTGGAACCAACACTTCATACATTTATGGGGAAATTAGGGCCTTGACCCCCACTCATGAGCCTTGGAGACTGGTGTCAAAGGCTGGTGTTTCTTGGGAGCAAACTGGAAGGAGTTCCTTAAAGATGTTGGCATCAGATGTGGTCTCCCTTGAGAAGTAAGTCCCACAGACTAATGTGGAGGCTCCAGCTGGGTGGTTGCTATGTAAGGCAGGGTCTCAAAGTGGGTGACTGGAGCCAGGGAGAAAAGTGCCCCGAAACTTTGCATGGCATGTGCAGACAGCTGCCCCTGAACTTTGGCAAGTCACTGTGCTCTGTAATTGAGTCTGATCTGGGCAAGAGGGCACTGGAATGCCACCCTGCCGGTCTATCCTCACGGGTTGCTAATTACTGGGTCGGCTGTGCCATCTCAGTGATGAGGTGAAGATGTCCCCCACCATCCCCCCTCCACTAGCTTCTCTGAGCAGCCCTCCTTGGCTTCTGGAGCAAACCAACTCCCTATAGCCTCCTCATGGCGAACCCTGCCTTCTTGGCCTCGGTCCTCCCGCCACCAGGGCCAGGGAGCAGGAGCGGTGGCCACTTGGCCACTGCAACATGCCACAAGTGACTCACCTGACCCAGTGTGAGCCATGCCCCCGACTCCCCCTCCCACCATCTGAGCCTTAGATTTCTCTTCCAGAAAATGGGAAATAAAGCCACCCCTGCACTCTTATCACCTCCCCAGTTTTAGGGAGGGGAAGGCAATAGAGACTGCACAAATGCCATCTGAGAGTGCAAGGAGCACGTCCCCCAGGCTGGCAGGAAGGCAAGTGGGAGGGTGGGTGTCATCAGCCATTGCCTCTCACCCAGTGACCTTGACCAAACATCCACCCACTGGGAAGCCAGCACAGGTATTGCTACAGCTGCAATGCCGGAGGCCCCAGAGGAGAGGAACATGGAGCCCAGAAAGGCACAGGATGAGCGACCGGGCCCTTCAGATGTGCCGAGCAGGGCCCACCAATCACAGAGGGCTCCAGGCCACCCTGGGAGTGGAGCTGGTGCAAACTTTCCACCAGTGAACCTTCCCCAGGTGCCCTCAGCACCTTGCCAATCCATGAATCTGTTTAAACAGCTTTGCCAAAGACACACTTTTAAGTTTAGATGCAGAGAGAAGGAAACACAATTATGTATCTTGCCCAGACCAAGAAAAACTGTCTCCAGCACCCTGGCTACCAGTCTCACCAAAGATGTCAGGACCTCAGCCTATGACATTCCCCTACCCATGGGGTTCTCATAAAATGAGGCAGTGCCTCTGAGCCCCACCATGAGACTCCGGGGTTACCATGCCTATGCCCAGGGCAGGAGCCTCTCGAGGGGTAAGTGCCTTCTGAAGGCAGGATGGAGGCAAGGATAGAGCATCAGGAGATGCCATGAGGAGGGACAGACAAGGGAATAAGAGAGCTGCATACACCAAAGATGCTTCCCTACTCTGTGTGCTGGGGCTCCCGAGGCTCGACGGCAGCCTGTCCTCCAGAAACCACAGTGGCCTGAGGTACCAGCAAAGGCCTGACCCACCCCTCCCAGGATGTTGGTGACCAGGCAAGGAAGCCAAAACACACTGGGCCTGAAACCCATTGTTTGGTCTTGTGTACTTCCCCACCCCACCCCTTGACCCACCTTTCGTCCATGGGGAACTTAGAAACTGGACTTGCATCTGGACAGGGTTTAAAATGGCCCTCCCAGATGAAAGCCCCAGCCAAGGTCCCAGTCTTGCCATATGATGCCTTCCATGTGCCCAGCGCTGTGCTGGGAACTTCAGAGAAAATACAATTAAGGGCGCCAGGAATTTTCCCTGCCCTCAAGCAGCTTACAGTCTGCTTTGGAAATAATTAAATAACAATGCAGAGCAGGTTGTAATTAAACACTTAATTGTGTGACTCTAACTGTAAGGACAATTGGAAGTCTGTGGACTCAGGGATAGATCTCTTCCCTTCCTACCATGCCCTTCCCTCCAGAACACTGTGCCCTCTCCAGCCAGAGAAGATATAAAGGTGTTTTATTGTAGAATGAGGCAATCTGGACTCCCCTCTCTAGTTAGTGATTTCATTTTGAGGCCAATGAATGAACCTTGCTGGGCCTCGGTTTCCTCATCTAGAAAATGAGGGGTTGGCTCCAGATGATCTACAAATTTCTCTGGCCCTGAGGCCATGGGGAGGAGGTTGGAGTAGGGCTGGGCCCTAGAGAAGGAGGAAAGCTGAACCCTTGAGTGAAGGAAGAGGGAGCTCTGGGTTGGAGAAACCGTGTGTGTGTGTGTGTGTGTGTGTGTGTGTGTGTGTGTGTGTGTGTGTCTGTGTGTGTGTGTGTGTGTTTAAGTGAGAAAATGGAGGGGAAGGGGGAAAACAAGGTTCTCAAAAGTCTGGCAGAGGAGTGGCTTTTGCGGGTCGACTCTGGGAAGCCATTCAAGATTATTTACCGGAGAAGCGATACTCAGAAGTCACTCTTTGGAGATGACGAACCTGGAAGGACAGGCAGAACTGACCAGAATGAGAGGACAGGACACCACCAGAGGGGTCAAGACATGAGACAGTGAGGTGTGGATGAACCCAGGGGTGATTGCAAAAGCAGAAACCCCGGGTCCTTGCACAGTGTTGAAACACTCAGGGTCTGGTGCTCTCTGAAGCACCTGAACAGTGCCTGGGAACTTATGGAGCCCAGGGCTGGACCAGTGCTTGGGAGGCCAGAGCATGGGGCCCTGCCAATGAACAGAGGCCCCAGGACTTGCCTTGATCTAGATTTCTCTCCATGGGAGAGAATCCGTGGAGGAAGTGGGATGCCAGGGATTGGGCGGGGCGGCGGGGGGCGGGGGGCAATGTGGTATAACCAGCTGCTTGTGTCCCCCGGATGAACAGGCAGGAAAAGCTTCTAGAGACTCGAGGGGAAAGGTCAGCCTACAGGAACCAGGTAGAGGGGCATCTATGGCAGATGGGCCCCTGAACCCCATCCTATTCAGGCCTCTTCCCTCCCTGGATCTTATGGGTGAATGACAGGCTTAGGGTGAAGAAGGGGGCTTGAGATGATTCTAGTAGAGCCTGTCATGACTATGTAGAGGGGTGTGGGGATGGCATTGTTCAGACCCAAGGAGGTGAAACCCTTCCCAGAATTCCTTTTTTTTTACTGTGACCCCACGACAATGTACAGGTGGTCAGCAAATGAGATCTTGACATCCCGACTCTGATTGTTTGACATTGGCCGGGTGACCTCCCCTCCCTGGGCCTTGATTTTGACCTCATCAAGATAAGGGGTTGGACTAGTTGATCTGCAACTGAATGACCTGAAATTGATTTGCTCCCAGCTTCCTGGGCCGTCCTCACCTCTCTGTTCTGCCAAATAAATGCAGGGACCAGCTGATGAGGGTCGACTCTCCCAGCCAACCCTGACATTTCCTAGTAGAGGTCTTCCATCAGACCCCAGGAGGCCAGGAGCACAGCAAGGGCCCTGGAGGGGCTTAGAGCTACCCTGCTTCTAGCTGATGAAACCCTGCCCTGCCACCCCACTCCTCCTACCTTTGCCCTGCCCTGCCACCCCACTCCTCCTACCTTTGCACAGCTCCTTCCTCTCTGGCCACTTTTGAACCACGCTTGGCGTAACTCAGTAATGCCTTCTGCATTCGCTCAGCTGATGCCAGACGCCTAGTGTGTGCTTGGCGCTGTTTTGGGTGCTGTAAGAAGTCTCCACGTGATGGTGTCCCTGCTCTCATGCATATGTGGAGTCACCCTGGTGGAGCTCTGTGGATAGGCGGTGCTCACTGAGAGAGTTAGGGAAGATATTCAAACAGTGCAAGCATAACTGGTCCCCAGTGTGGGAGAAGCAGAGACCTCTGAACTCTAAACAGCCTTAACTGGTGCCTCTGACAAGGGCTGGCTGGCCAGCATCACAGGACAGCTGTGCGACGCATGTCCCAAAGGCCACACTTTACCTTTCCAGATTTGCAGTCACCATTATCTCAGGCCTGTGACATGCTAGGCTTTCTCCCTCTGATTCTAAGTGAACACCCTTCTGAGGGGGACGTCTTCCCTTCCAGGCAGATTTCATTTGCACCTTGTACCATTGCCCTTGCATGCAGCACACTGCCAGAACATCCCTGAACTACTTCTTTGCTCACATCTGCCAGCCCACCACTGCCCATCTGGGCACCTCATTCTCCCCTTCCCAGACCCGCAATGCCTTGCCCACCTTCCAAGCACCAGTATCCCCTACTGGCCCTCCATCACGCCCTCTGGAACAACCCCACAGAGCTGATCCGCTCAGCCAGGCTTCCTCCCGCCTGCTGTTGGCATCTCTAGTCTCTATCGTCTTCTCCACTCGCACAGCATTTGTCGTGCCTCCCCAGACATCTGCTTTGATCTCTTCTGTATTCCTAAATCACTTGCCACTCGTGGCGGCCCCCACTTCCACCATGAGACTACCAGTTCCTTAAGAGAAGTGCTCACCTCTGCCTTCTTTCCCTTCTCCCACCTGTCCCTGTGCCCAGCCCACTGTGGGCTTTCAGTCAATGAGTGTGTCTGTGTGTGGGACACACCCACATATGCATATCCACAAGCCATTCACACACATGGATCTGCACGTTCTCACACCCCCACATTCACAAACACACATCAGCTTCCCTCAGCACCTGAGAAGGCAGCCACCTCTGTGAGGACCATGCCCACAAGTGACAGTCTCTGCATTGATCCATGTCCTCCCTGTCCCGCCTTTCCACCAGCCTCCCTGCCCCTCCCTGGTGTTCCCCTTGCCAAGCATGTCAAGGGGACAGGACAGTGGCCATCACCCCTACCCCGGGGCAAATGAGGAAAGCAAAGCCTGAAACAGTGAGTGGCATGACTTACCAAGGGCATCCACAGTTAAGAGCCGTTTGACTTTCTTCTGACTTCCAGGGAAGGGCTGTTTGCACCTGCCACCGTCTTGCCTACATCCCTGTT